CGGAAACAGCATATCCCGAGAGAGACATGTTTCCGTGAAACAGAGAACGTTACAATCCCTGATGTCTCTCTGGAAGGAGATCCTCGCCCTGAGCTCGTCTACTTTATTGTCCAGAGGCTGAACATTAGCGAGAAATATACTCGGAAGCGGTGGATGGTGTGCACGACTCCTGAGTCGGACTAGAAGTCCACTCCGAATACCTCTTTGGAGCAGCCTCTGGAATAATTGCCCTGGGGGGTATGAACAAAGGATCCAATTCGTATTCCGCTCTGATATCCAAAAGTTATTTCCGGCTGTATGTAATAACACAAAAAAATACTGCCCTAATAATGTAATAAATAACACACACAAAAACCAAATACTGCAAAGTTGCTTAGGAGCTAGAAGCAGAGCTGCCATATCTGTCGGCGCCATCTTACCTACCATGATATCATGGATGGTCGGTCCTTGCATCCATAGCTCTATCCATGATTTTGAGTGGTTACATTTCAGACTGCTTCTCCTCGAACGTGACGGTGAAAGCGTTTCTGAGAGCCCATTGGTTATCGAATGGCCAATAGCATGAGGCGTGGGTCTTGATGGCTTGGGAGCTTCCCCTGCACCCCCTTCTCTGTTAATGTCCAAAAGTGGAAGTCGCGTCACAGGCTCTCTTTCCATTTCCCCTGAAAACTGGAAAATCTGGTTGTTGGGGACTCGGGAGAGGCTAGGTTTGGTGTAAACGGTTTCTGTTGCAAAACGTTTTGCAACAGAATTGGCAGAATGAATACACCCCTGATGGCAAACTATACTGAACAAAAATATAAACGCAACATACAACAATTTCAACGATTTTACTGAGTTACAGTTCATATAAGGAAATCAGTCAATTGAAATTAATTCATTAGGCCCTAATCTATGGATTTCACATGACTGGGCAGGGGCGCAGCCATGGGTAGGACCCACTTGGGCACAAGGCCCACCCACTGGGGAGCCAGGCCCAGCCAATCAGAATCAGTTTTTCCCCACAAAAGGCAGTTATTGCAGACAGAAATACTCCTCCGTTTCATCAGCTGTCCAGGTGGCTGGTCTCAGACGATCCTGCAGGCGGCAGGTAGCTTAGTGGTTAAGAGCGTTGTGCCAGTAACCGAAAGGTCGCTGGTTCTAATCCCTGAGCCGACTAGGTGAAAAATCTGCCGATGTGCCCTTGAGCAAGGCACTTAACCCTAATTGCTCCTGTAAGTCGCTCTGGATAAGAGCGTCTGCTAAATGACTAAAATGTAAGAAGCCGGATGTGGAGGTCCTGGGTTGGCATGGTTACAGGTGGTCTGCGGTTGTGAGGCCGGTTGGACGTATTGCCAAATTCTCTAAAACGATGTTGGAGGAGGCTTATGGTAGAGAAATTAACATGACATGCTCTGGTGGACATTCCTGCAGTCAGCGTGCCTATTTTACGCTCCCTCAAAACTAGAGACATCTGTGTTTGACAGAACTGCACATTTTAGTGGCCTTTTATTGTCCCCAGCACAATGTGCACCTGTGTAATGATCACGCTGTTTAATCAGCTTCTTGAAATGCCACACCTGTCAGGTGGATGTCTCGGCAAAGGAGAAATGTTCACTAACAGGGATGTAAACACATTTGTACACAACATTTGAGAGAAATAAGCTTTTTGTGCATATGGAAAAATTCTGGGATATTTTATTTCAGCTCATGAAACATGGGACCAACACTTTACATGTTGCGTTTATATTTTTGTTCAATATAGATTTCCTACAGGTAGGTTTCTCTTATAATACATTGTGCCCTCCTAATTCTATGAAATCAAAGAAAGTTATACTTTTCGAATGCATTGGAAAACCTGGTCTGTTTTAGAATATGATACTCAGCTAAACTAGCATATACTGCTGAGTATTGAGTTAATTGTGTACAAATACCAATTTATTTTGTGAGGCAAATTAATATTTTAGGTCACCCAGTTAGTTTGCAACTTTGCATCTATGCTAGCCTAGGCAGCCGATAGTGGGCGCTAGATCTGCACTATCATCTAGGTTTGATGTGACCAGCCGGTAACACTTGTGTCCCCAGTGGACCGGCTTGTACACAAGGCTGCAAAGGCATCATTTCCCTCCTTTACTAGCTTTAATGGCGGGCCGAGTACAGCCAAGGTTGTGCAACATCCTAAATTGTCCGAAAACGAATGAGTGTATTACTAAATATATTTTATAACTAAACCAAGATAAACCACAGCCTGTCGTTTAATGGGAACAAATGAGTCATAGTGGGCAGAACAAGCAAGGTGGTGGGCAGAGCCAAGCACGAGCTAGCGAGATCCTATTGACGCGTTCTAGTACATCTGCATATTTCCGTTAGGGAACGCATACTCTGAAATGCGCATGTGCAATTACTCAATTCGCCTTTGCACTCCTTCAAAACAAGGCAATTTAAAAAATGTTTTTGCTAAGGGTAAAGTCTACAAAACTTAGTCCACTCTATTCATAACATATTCTAGTTTTGGGAACAGAAATTGCATTGAGATCAAATGTTTCATCGATGAGAAAATGTACAGAATTTAGGCCAAAATCCATCTTGTTCCATCTTCTCCCACTGCCGGCCAGTGGGCTTCCGGTAGTTAGCTTCACTTTTATACATCCGTGAAATATCTGTCTCATTGCTCTGTCTGTGGTATTAACGGCTGGGCACATCATTCCTAGAAGCAGACAAATACTTTTATAACTAACCCATTGTTAACTCATTGTTCAATCTGTGGTGTAGATCTAACGCACACTATCGGCTGCCTATGCTACAAATATGCATGCATTATCAAAGACGAGTTGAGTATGCAATCTCCAGTTATGCGCATGCACGTAGTATTTTTTCAAAATTGTATTAGTCAATCAAGTGAATAATATTGAGCATCAATTTTTATCAAATGAAAAACAGTATACATTTTGAGTGGCATTTTCTAGCTACAGCGGTCCCGCCTACTTGTTGGTCTCGTGCGCAAAGAAAGACAATCCGATTTTAGGTGGGGGGATGGGTAAAATCTGTACAAGCAGCGCTGTGATTGGTCAACAAAAAGATTCAAATAAACAACAGGAATTCCCATTGGTCAATGTCCGCTCGCGAGGAGTCCTTTGGGTATAGGGGTTGTTAAGGGATTTATTGTTTCTCTCCGTCTTGAACCGAAATTGTTTTCGATCTCCTCAGTTCCACAACCAAATAAAGAAACGTTGAAATGGTAAGTGTTTATTTTCTGTAGCCATACTTTTAATAACTACTGCATGGTATAGAATTTGTCCGTGTATGGTTTAATTGTACATTCGCTAGCATTACCTGCTACTGCTTCAAATTGACTGAAAAGCAATGCGTTCCTAATCGATAGCTAACTTACTAGTTAGATTTGAGTTACTTTTTACCTTAGTTTAACTTATTTTCTGTTTTGGTAATTGCTGGTTTTATCACTGATAAATATATTCTGCTATTTTCGCGTGCGAATCATGTGGTTGATCGGCAAGTAGTCTACTAACTTAACTAATTTGGATAACTACCGTCAGTTTGTTCGAGTTCGCTGGTCGTGTTGCTCCGCGGCTGTTCTGTATCAAATGTCAATATTGCCATATCTGTTGAGGTTATGTAACTAGTTACTAATAATTCGCCTTTAGCATTGCAGTACATTTCAGCAAATGGTTAACTAATACAATGGGTTTATTAAACATTCCACTTGGTGGTAGTGTTATCCATCTAGTTAACCTTCTAATTTGATATCTAACTAGTTAGCTAGCCTTCTAATTTGATGCCAGCTGAGATGTTGCTTGTCAAGAATTGGCGGGAAACGTAAGCCATCAAAATGGGGGTGATTCCCATGGCATGCTAGCAAGCACTAACTACCTTCCTAATTAGAAATGTTTATATGGACCTAATTAATCAATTTTAAGTTGTCTTATTTTAGCTAAACGTTAGCAATGTCAGCCAGGCAAGTGAAGGTTGGTGACCTGGGACACGGTCAGGGGTCAAGATATTTAGGGTCTCTAGGTCCAGGATTAAGAAACACTGAGTTTTGAGGACAAATGTTGACAGCTGCGCCATACAGGCTGCAAAGTAGCTGGGAAGAGATTATCACTGTACGAATTCCATGGCACATGGTGTATGAACTGATAAACAAAACAACAATTGATTCAACACAACAAGGAAAAAGTCCAGTGTCTGTTCTTTGCCCATCTTAATCTTTTCTTTTTATTGGCCAGTCTGAGATATGGCTTTTTCTTTGCAATTCTGCCTAGGTCAGCATCCCGGAGTCGCCTCTTCACTGTTGATGTTGAGACTGGTGTTTTGCGGGTACTAATTAATGAAGCTGCCTGTTGAGGACCTGTGAGGCGTCTGTTTCTCAAACTAGACACTAATATATTTGTCCTCTTGCTCAGTTGTGCACTAGGGCCTCCCACTCTTTATATTCTGGTTAGAGACAGTTTGCTCTGTTCTGTGAAGGGAGTAGTACACAGCGTTGTACGAGAGCTTCAGTTTCTTGGCAATTTCTCGCATGGAATAGCCTTCATTTCTCAGAACAAGAATAGACTGACGAGTTTCAGAAGAAAGTTCTTTGTTTCTGGCCATTTTGAGCCTGTAATCGAACCCACAATTGCTGATGCTCCAGATACTCAACTAGTCTCAAGAAGGCCAGTTTTTATTGCTTCTTTAATCAGCACAACAGTTTTCAGCTGTGCTAACATCATTGCAAAAGGGTTTTCTAATGATCAATTAGCCTTTTAAAATGACAAACTTGGATTAGCAAACACAACGTGCCATTGGAACACAGGACTGACAGTTGCTGCTAATGGGCCTCTGTACGCCTATGTAGATAATCCATTAAATTATATATATTGTAACAAAAAACACAGTTGGGGGATTTGTGTTGTCATTTGGGTAAGGGGTGCTTGCATGCAAATCACATGGTTTCTATTCATTATCTTACTTAAAAGTCCCTATTTTTATTTTGTAATAATGTCTTGCTCCATCTATTCCAGGCTGGCGGTAAGGCAGGAAAAGACAGTGGCAAGGCCAAGGCGAAAGCAGTGTCGCGCTCCCAGAGAGCTGGACTTCAGGTAAGATTTGAATACCGCTGCAGTGATCTTATATACTGAACAAAAATATCAACGCATCATGTGAAGTTTTGGTTTCATGAGCTCAAATAAAAAAATCCTAGAAATGTTCCATATGCACAAAGCTTATTTCTCTCAAATGTTGTGTACAAATGGTTTACATCCCTGTTGGTGAGCATTTCTCTTTTGCCAAGATAATCCACCCACCTGACAGGTGTGGCATATCATTACACAGGTGCACCTTGGACTGGGAACAAAATTACACTTTAAAATGTGCAGTTTTGACACAACGCTACAGATGTCTGAAGTTTTGAGGGAGCGTGCAATTGGCATTCTGACTGCAGGTATGGCCAACAGAGATGTTGCCAAATCAATGTTCATTTCTCTACCATAAGCTGCCTTCAACGTCGTTTTAGAGAATTTGGCAGTACGTCTAACCGGCCTCAACCGCAGACCATGTGTAACCATGTCAGCCCAGGACCTCTACATCTGGCTTCTTCACCAGCGAAATCGTCTGAAGTTGGGGGATGCAGAGTAGTGTTTCTATCTGCAATAAAGCCCTTTTGTGGGGAAAAACTAATTCTGATTGGGTGAGCGTGGCTCCCAAGCCACCTATGGCTGCACCCCTGCCCAGTTATACTGGGGGGGAAAAATATGAATGCAACAATTCCAATGATTTTATTGAGTTACAGTTCATATAAGGAAATCAGTCAACTTAAATAATCTATGGATTTCACATGACTGGGGAGCAAGGCCCAGCCAATCAGACTCAAATACTCCTCAATTTCATCAGCTGTCCGGGTGGCTGGTCTCAGACGATCCCGCAGGTGACGAAGCTGGGTGTGGAGGTCCTGGGCTGGCATGGTCACAAATGGCAACTGCTCTCGAGGACATTCCTGCAGTCAGCATGCCAATTGCAAGCTCCCTCAACTTGAGACATCTGTGGCATTGTGTTGACACAACTGCACATTGTAGTGGCCTTTTATTGTGCCTAGCTCAAGGTGCACCTGTGTAGTGATCATGCTGTTTAATCAACTTCTTGATATGTCACACCTGTCAGGTGGACGGATTATCTTGGCAAAGGAGAAAAGCTCACTAACAGGGATGTAAACAACTGTGTGCAAAATTTGGGAAGCTTTTTGTGCGTATGGAACATTTCTCGGATCTTTTTTATTTCAGCTCATGGGACCCATGTTTAATTTGAGCCTCTCAGTTTGGACTGTTTTGTTCTGGAACTTATTTGGCCGGATCCGGAACCTCTCGTTGCATTAATGATTTTAACTTCTTGCAATGTAAAAATTCTAACCAAAGCGATCGAAGTTCATTTGAGGTGACTCTTTGTTAATTACCTGCCCCCACAAAAAAAGCGTCACGTGAAAAAGTAGATTCTCAGCCCGTGCCTAATATTCTAAGCGTTTTATTTGGGTTGATTTTGCGCAACATTGAAACGTATGTTAGAGACCAATCTGTGGCTGAGACGCATGCCAGTATGTCTCGCATAACTATAATGAGATTCATTTTCTATGATCTCTCTACTCCGCTAGACATGAGCCTGCAACTCACATCTCTAGCGTTGCACTTCGTAATTTATTTCCTTATAGAATCATAGCCACAAAAGGGTTCTGAGCGAACTGCAGCACCCCTGATGAACGTAAAGACATTTGCTAAAGTTATAGAATTACTGCGGTCTGCTCAGAAATAAATTAAATTATTCAGAATAGCCTACTACACCATGAAAAGGCCTATAATTTAGCCACAGAGGATCAATAGATTATATAAAAGAATAGCCTAGCTGTGATTGTAGCCCAATAACAAGGAATAGCCAACAGTCGGCAACATGCGGCAAATCTGTCAGTTAAAAAAACTGCATGCAGACAACAGGCCTTTCGCAATATTTCGAATGCGATCAAGGGAAAACACAGGTTGGACAGCAAATGACTCTGCTGAAAGAGAACACTATGCTGTAGGCTACCAAAATATTTGATCAACTTCCAAATATTGTTTTACGAGAGCGACGCTTTTGGCACGGGTCGACAATCACCAGCGAGTGATCTGTGTATCATTGGTGAAACTAGAAACCATTTTTAGGACTAATTTCCTTATCTTGTAGCCTACAATATGTCTCCACACGCCAAGGCTATTGATGGATTCAAGACAAGGTCGTTTTTAATGAGCTCAGTTTGTCAGTGTCAAAGTAGCCTGCCATTTCGATCATTTGTGCGGTATCAAAAAATATTCTGCCAGTCTCCAGTCATGAAAAATGAAATGCGTTTATAAAGGGCAACATTTTTCCCGGACCTTAGGCTACTAAAAACGTTCCCTATGTGTGCAACTTCTGTAAGTCCCTCTACTGTACTGCTCTCTACCACTACACAAATGCGCTGTAATGCATGCCTAATTATAAAGGTGACTTTTTTTTATGCGTTCTGGTACCTCAGAACTCCCCAGGTCACTTTACATGTAGCATTTTATATTTGTTCAGTATATTTCAATTGACTGATTTCCTTATGAACTAACTCAGTAAAATCTTTGCATTTATATTTTTGTTCTGTGTGTGGAGTGCTTTCGGAAAGTTTTCAGACCCCTTGACTTTTTACATATTGATAAAATAAATGTTTCCCCCCCTCATCAATCTACACACAATACCCCATAATGACCGCAACGTTTTTGAAATTTTTGCAAATGTATTATAAATAAAATAAACATACCTTATTTACATAAGTATTCTGAACCTTTCCTATGAGACTTGAAATTGAGTTCAGGTGCATCCTGTTTCCATTGATCATCCTTGATGTTTCTACAACTTGATTGGAGTCCACCTGTGGTAAATTCAATTGATTGGACATGATTTGGAAAGGCACACACCTGTCTATATAAGGTCCCACAGTTGACAGTGCATGTCAGAGCAAAAACCAAGACATGAGGTTGAAGGACTTTTCCGTAGAGCTCAGAGACAGGATTGTGTCATGGCACAGATCTGGGGAAGGGTACCAAAACAATTCTGCAGCATTGAAGGTCCCCAAGAACACAGTGGCGTCCGTCATTCTTAAATGGAAGAAGTTTGGAACCACCCAGACTCTTCCTAGAGTTGGCTGCCCGGCCAAACTGTACAATCGGGGGAGAAGGGCCTTGTTCAGGGAGGTGACCAAGAACCTCTGCAGCACTCCACCAATCAGGCCTTTATGGTAGAGTGGCTAGACGGAAGCCACTCTTCCATAAAAGGCACATGACAGCCCGCTTGGAGTTTGCCAAAAGGACTCTCAGACGATGAGAAACAAGGTTCTCTGTTCTGATGAAACCAAGCTTGAACTCTTTGACCTGAATGCCAAACGTCACGTCTGGAGGAAACCTGGCACCATTCCTACGGTGAAGCATGGTGGCAGCATCATGCTGTGGATATGTGTTTCAGCAGCAGGGACTGGGAGACTAGTCAGGATCCAGGGAAAGATGAATGGCACAAAGTACAGAGAAATCCTTGATGAAAACCTGCGCCGGCCCTCAGACTTGGGTGAACGTTCACCTTCCAACAGGACATCAACCCTACGCACACAGCCAAGATAACGCAGGAGTGGCTTTGGGACACGTCTCTGAATGTCCTTGAGTGGCCCAGCCAGAGCCCGGACTTGAACGCTATCGAACGTCTCTGGACGTGACAGAGCTTGAGAGGATCTGTAGAGAAGAATGGGAGAAATTCCTCAAATACAGGTGTGCAAAGCTTATAGTGTCATACCCAGAATACTCAAGGCTGTAATCGCTGCCAGATGTGCTTCCACAAAGTACTGAGTAAAAGGTCTGAATACATATGTGAATGTGATATTTCTGTTTTTTTAATACATTGCCACAAATTCTGTTTTTGCTTTGTCATTATGGGGTTGTGTGGATTGAGGTGAAACATTCGTTTTTTTTTCCATTTTAGAATAAGGCTGTAACAATGTAGAACGGGTGGAGGTCTGAATACTTTCCGACTGCACTGTATATGCACCTTATCGTTCATTATAATGGATCTTGAGTTTCTGTTCTATTAGGTAAGAGTAGCAATGCTATTTTCCATGTTCCTGCTATTACAATAAAACTCTTCCATTCAACTGGTTTGCATTTGTTTGCTTCTCAATGTTTCAGTGCTCATGTACGGCTATTACTAGAAACCACTCATTCATTGCAGAGCCATTGTGTAGTGGTAACACTCCCTGGAACATGTCACAAGTGCAACTGTCCAACAGAGACCAGGTTAAATCCCTGTGTCCAACCTTCTCACTGTTTCTCCCACTTGCTTGTCTCCCCACATCGTTTCCTTACTTTCTGAATAGGTGTAAGTGCTAACTGTGCCACTAGAGATCCTGGTTCGAATCCAGGCTCTGTCGCAGCCGGCCGCGACCAGGAGACTCATGGGCGGCGCACAATTGGCCCAGCATCGTCCAGGGTAGGGGAGGGAATGGCCGGCAGGGATGTAGCTCAGTTGATAGAGCATGGCGTTTGCAACGCCAGGGTTGCGGGTTCGATTCCCACGGGGGGCCAGTATAAAAAAATATGTATTCACTAACTGTAAGTCGCTCTGGATAAGAGCGTCTGCTAAATGACTAAAATGTAAAAATGTAAATGTATTGCTATATATATCCTCATCCCCTTTCCCCCCCCCCCCCCTGTTTTCTTCCTTCCAGTTCCCAGTGGGTCGTATCCACAGGCACTTGAAGACTCGTACTACCAGCCATGGCCGTGTAGGAGCCACAGCGGCCGTGTACAGTGCTGCCATCCTGGAGTACCTCACCGCTGAGGTGCGCGTACCACTGACGCATCTGATCAAATACATCCTGTTGGATTAGACTATTGCTGTCATGTAACCAAAATGTCATTTATCAATTTGTGAGTGATTGGGAAGATGTATAAGAGTGCTATTGAATAGTAGATCTCTGAATCGTTTCATATTTGAGTTTAAGATTTTTGTTTCCAGGTACTGGAGTTGGCGGGCAACGCTTCCAAAGATCTGAAGGTGAAGCGCATCACCCCTCGCCACTTGCAGCTCGCTATCCGTGGAGACGAGGAGTTGGACTCCCTCATCAAGGCCACCATCGCTGGAGGAGGTGAGTTGTGAAGGCACACCGTTATTAGATCACTTGCTCTCACACACAGTTATTGGAACAAACACACGCATAATCGCCCTCCACATATGCACCCGTTTTTGGATCATTGCTATTGTACGTGGTGTTTTCAAAATACTAGATGTCCACATCTCCATTTCTTTCATAACATGCATACGCTCGTGTTCTTGTTTGACCACTGTTTGCTTCTGTTTCCAGGAGTGATCCCTCACATCCACAAGTCCCTGATTGGGAAGAAGGGCCAGCAGAAGACTGCGTAGACAGACATCTTGTTGACTGTGAAGGCTTTTATTCGGACTGGACTGTGTTCGGAGACGCTTGTATTCAGACTTACTTGACCGACCAGAACTTCACATTTTCTTTTATTAATATTATAGCTAACGATGATGAGTGATTGTTACGGTTTTGTCATGATTGTAATATTTCCCATAACTAGAAAAACTCAAACACATTTGGATTAGGGCTGGGCGACTGGCCTAAAAATCGGATCGTAATTTATTTTTTAGTTTATGGGCGGTTCCTAAAACATGTAATAGTTTTCTTGTACAATTTTAAAGGTCAAATACACTGCATTTCAAATAGTCAAGCAACAATCTAATTCAGGACTTGTGAAATTATACCTGGGCTCAATAAAAGCCTTCTACAACATAAGATCACTAATAATTTAAATATTTTATCAATTTTAACCTGCTTTTTTGCAATCACTGATCTGGTTTATGAAAATTCCCCTTTTCTAACAAATTTAACCAGAATCATGCATAATGTACATTAACTAATAATTAATAACTTCTTGTAGCAGGCGTTATAGAAAATTAACACTGGTCTCAAGCGCAAGCCCACATGCTAGTAGGTAGCCAGCTAATCTTTGTATTTCACATTTAGTGTACTTGGGTCTATTTGCTAGCTAACAAGGCAGAACAGTTGCATTATAATAATAAATTATGAACACACCCTTCTGTTTCCAACTGTTTAAACAGCATGCTATCCTGTCCACTTTGTTCAGATGTTGAAATCAAGTGGCCTAACTTGTCAGAATGAGAAGTTGCCAATCATATTGTTTTATGACTAGACAGCTAGTTTAAGTCTTTGGCTAAAATGCTGCTTCGTGTACATGGTAGTGCAATGCTGCGCGCGACAAACTGAGCATTCATTTCCATAGACGCGCTCTTTTAATTAGTGTCTGCTCTGCGTGCAATTTGAGTAGTTAAGACAAAGGGTATCGTCGGAAAAGGTAACTTCTCCTCTTGTTACATTAAAATGTCCATATGACCGGTTTTCTGTTGGACCAAACCTTAAATGCAAATAGCAAGTTGAAACCAATTGTCGGAGAGGAAGAACTGATCTCACCTTTATGAGTGGCAGGGGGAGTGTGAACCATAGAGCACGTGTCAAACTTATTCCACAGAGGGCAGAGTGTTTGCGGGTTTTCACTCCTCCCTTGTACTTGATTGACAAATGAAGGTCCCTAATTAGTAAAGAACTCCCCTCATCTGGTTGTCTTAATTGAAAACATCCGCAGACACTAGGCCCTCCATGGAATGAGTTCGACAGCCCTGCCGTAGAGGCGAGAGGTTTCACTCGCACCAAAATAAGGCCAATGGGATTGAGCTTAGTTTGGATTTAATCTTGTCGCCTGCCTTTGGGACGACTCCCACTGTTAGGGTGGAGACATGCATCTCATCATTATATACAGATCTCTGGTGTTAGTGGGAAGGAGCGAAGAAGATGAGACCAAAAAGACATGAGAACAAGCAGACAATGACACTCATAAAAATGAAAAGTACAATACACCTCTTCTTGCGATACAGGCATTTGGAATATTGCACAAATTCGAATTAATCAAATTAATTCAATATCGCCCAGCCCTAATTTTTTTTATTTTTAGATTGTGGGGCAGGACGGGGAAATAATCATACGTTTGTTATTGTGACAGTTGAATTTGTTTTGATTGGCAGGGCTTCATAAATGTTTTATACTGAAAATGGAATTAAAACTCATTTTTTATAAAAACGAAGCTGTTTGTGGATTTCTTCCGTATTGGTCTAGCTAAATTATTAGAATTTTTATGCTATGATGAAGTAATGTCTTTATTTGCTACTAGTTCCAACAAAGCCTGTATCAAGGCTAGGGTTGCAAAGGGTGGGGTATACTACTGGAAACTTTAAGTTTTAACAGGAAACTACCAGAGGTTTATAGAGCGCAATTGTAATGGCATCTCTTTGTAGGCTCGTTGGTCACAGCCAAGGGGGAAATGAATGTAGTTTTTTGATCAACTCCGAAAATAAGGTCTGTGGTTAAAAACAGGCTTAGGAGATCTTTTGCTTTATTCTACAAGAATCAGCCAACATCACTTTGTGAATTTTGAAGTATTTTATGTCATCCAAATGAGCGCATTAAGGCTTCATAATTCATGAAGGTCATGTTAACTGATATCTTATAAAGGAAAAATGCCTATGGGGGACATGAAGTCTGCGGTTAACACAGGCTTAGGAGACCATACTTTTTTGAACCAAAAGCGATGGAGGACTCGTCTTTATACCATTCTGTGACCTCATGGGCAGCGCTATTGAGGCTGCAACCATAGGAATCCCCACCCAGTTGACTACTTTAAAATTGTAGACGCCCTCAATGGCGCTGCCCATTCTAAAACAGCCTTCTGGCCACTACAGGCCTCTGTCATTCTCTATGGTCCTAACAAACCAGAGTTAACTAATTTCTGGGTTTTAGGACTACAAGCTGGACTTACTCTATTTGGAATTTTATTAGATGACATCTAGTGGCCTTTTTGGGTACTAAAGATTATCACAGGTGTCATCTCTGGCCCTCTGTGTAGCCTTATCACATGTAAAATATGAAATCATTCAATAAGATGACAAATGGAATGACAAAGCTGTAAAACATTATCCTAACTACTGTATAAACATAGTGAATACCATTGGTGTTTAATGAGGGTTTCGGTGTCATACTGGAGGCAGTTGTGAAATGTCTAGTTGGAAGAGTTGCAGAATTAATTGAAAAAATGTCATTGTTGATTAATGCTTTTTCTTTCATGAATTACGCTATATCCTCTTGAGTTTCTAAACTCAGCAAAAAAAGAAGCGTCCTCACTGTCAACAGTGTATATTTTAAGCAAACCTAACGTGTAAATATTTGTATTAACATAAGATTCAACAACTGAGACATCAACTGAACAAGTTCCACAGACCTATGACTAACAGAAATGGAATAATGTGTCCCTGAACAAAGGAGGAGGGGGGGGGGGTCAAAAGTAAAAGTCAGTATCTGGTGTGGCCACCAGCTGCATTAAGTACTGCAGTGCATCTCCTTCTCATGGACTGCACCAGATTTGCCATTTCTTGCTGTGAGATGTTACCCCACTCTTCCACCAAGGCACCTGCAAATTCCCGGACAATTCTGGGGGGAATGGCCCTAGCCCTCACCCTCCGATCCAACAGGTCCCAGATCCTCTTCGCTGGCCATGGCAGAACACTGACATTCCTGTTTTGCAGGAAATCACACACAGAATGAGCAGTATGGCTGGTGGCATTGTCATGCTGGAGGGTCATGTCAGGATGAGCCTGCAGGAAGGGTACCACATGAGGGAGGAGGATATCTTCCCTGTAACGCACAGCGTTGAGATTGCCTGCAATGACAACAAGCTCAGTCCGATGATGCTGTGACACACCGCCCCAGACCATGACGGACCCTCCACCTCCAAATCGATCCCGCTCCAAAGTACAGGCCTCGGTGTAACGCTCATTCCTTTGACGATAAACACGAATCCGACCATCACCCCTGGTGAGACAAAACCGTGACTCGTCAGTGAAGAGCACCTTTTGCCAGTCCTGTCTAGTCCTGCAACGGTGTGTTTGTGCCCATTGGCGACATTGTTGCCTGTGATGTCTGGTGAGGACCTGCCTTACAACAGGCCTACAAGCCCTCAGTCCAGCCTCTCTCAGCCTATTGCGGGCAGTCTGAGCACTGATGGAGGGATTGTGCGTTCCTGGTGTAACTCGGGCAGATGTTGTTGCCATCCTGTACCTGTCCCGCAGGTGTGATGTTCGGATGTACCGATCCTGTGCAGGTGTTGTTACACGTGGTCTGCCACTGCGAGGACGATCAGCTGTCCGTCCTGTCTCCCTGTAGCACTGTCTTAGTCGTTTCACAGTACGGACATTGCAATTTATTGCCCTGGCCACATCTGCAGTCCTCATGCCTCCTTGCAGCATGCCTAAGGCACGTTCACGCAGATGAGCAGGGACCCTGGGAATCTTTCTTTTGGTGTTTTTCAGAGTCAGTAGAAAGGCCTCTTTAGACTCCTAAATCTTCTTAACTGTGACCTTAATTGCCTACCGTCTAGTGTCTTAAGAACCGTTCCACAGGTGCATGTTCATTCATTGTTTATGGTTAATTGAACAAGCGTGGGAAACAGTGTTTAAACCCTTTACAATGAAGATCTGTGAAGTTATTTGGATTTTTATGAATTATCTTTCAAAGACAGGGTCCTGAAAAAGGGACATTTATTTTTTTGCTGAGTTTACTAGGAACTCATGGACAATATGGTCACAGATATAAAAAATTAATACTGAATGCATTTTTAAAAAAGTTATTGAAGCATAAGTTACCATAGATGACCATAGATTGTTAGTTACCAAAATTACAGAAGATTCCGGTAATTTGTGTAAATTACCAGTAGCTTTGCAACCCTAATCAAGGCACTTTAAAAACATATCTGGTTTGTTGATGTGACAAAATGATCAAATGCTGTAGGTAGCCTATAGCGATTAAGAGCGTTGGGCCAGTAACCGAAAGGTCGCTGGTTTGAATCCCCAAGCCGACTAGGTAAGCAATCTTTCGACATGCCCTTGAGCAAGGCACTTAACCCTAATTGCTCCTGTAAGTCGCTCTGGATAAGAGCGTCCGCTAAATGACTAAAATGTAAATACTGCATTTTATGATGAGTAGTAATATCTTCATTTGCAGCTAGTTTTAGTGCTTTGTTAAAGGGACAATCTGCAGTCGAAACAATAACAAATTATATGTTGTCAAGCATTTTGACAACTGTGCTGAGCAATTAACCGAAATGTTGGTTATTTTTCGGGTTTAAACCATGTCGGTTCAATTATTTGAATTCTATTTCAATAGTTTTTCTGTGAGCTCAATGCGCACATTGCGCAGTTTCTCAAAATAAATCGGATCAAGCCCGAACTGTGCGATGTAGTAGGGAGTTGTAGTTTCCAACAGACCAATATTCGACATA